GAAAAGGAATAATTACTGAACAACAACAATAAAAAAACACAAAATTATTTACTATAAGCTAGTATGTAATATATGTAGGTAAGAGACTGTTTTAAGGCATTTAATACAGTACAATATTTGTTTATAGCAAATATATGGCACAGGCAATATGGATTGTGATATATATAACCCTTATTTCCTTTATATAGTAAAATAATTCAAGACCACTAATATTGTACCTGCAAATGACTTTGTCTTTTTAATAGTTCTTTTTTCTTGCTGCTACTAATGGCAGAATACACATGTAAAAAGGTCATGTATCGGCTTGGTGTAGCACCATATGCTTTACAAGATTCATGGATTAATAAAAATGATTTTAGAAAATCAGGGTCAACTAGAAAGAGATAGAAAACAAATAAGACTTAATATATGCAGAATTCATTAAGAATTAGAGAAAACAATTTCACTATATTTATTTCATACCAGATACTTTCACCTATATAACTATAATTATGAAATGCCACCTTTGCTTGAAGGTATACAGGCATTCTTAGACATCTATTCACAGCTCCCATTTCTCTTATGAATTTTGAATTATTTAATTTCAGTGGTCTCTATCCTTCCACTGTTATATATTTCCCTTGAACACTTTTGCTGATGCAAGGAAGATTAATCTGCAGGTTGTCATAACCTATAAATTAACTGGAACTAAATAACACATATAATCCAGAAGAAAGCCTGCTTAAATAGAAAAATGATACCAAACCAAGTAACAGCAATCCACTCCCATGTGACACAGGAAGAAACACGACTTCAAAAGCCAAAAATTAAGAAGTTTACATTAGATTCAACATATCCATGACTATACACATATCTTTTTCTCATCACCTCATCTATTTCCCACAGTATACTGTATATCAATTAATAAAATAAACTTCTAATGAATTTTCTAAACCAACACCCTGAGAAATATCTTTGACTCCTTCTTCCTTGTATGCCACAGCCATTACATATCCAGGTCTGCATTAGCTTACCTCCTAATATCTCCCCAAGTCCATTTCTACCTCTTAAATTACTTCAGTAGCCATCTGTAGTGGCCTAATTGCTATTCGTTTCTCCCTACCCCAATCTATTTTCCAATAACTGAAAAAAGGACGGACCCAGAGATTTATGTTTCTAAAACAAGACTCTGGTTACATCTCCACTAACATCTCTCAGTTACCCTGAATCACCCATAAGATAGTATCCAAATTCCTTAAAATTACATGGAAGGATCTTTAATACCTGTTCCTGCCTACCTTTCCCTCTTCATCTAATACTCTACTATCTATATGTCCTACCTTTCAGCCTTTTGCGCATTTATAGTTTCATAAAAATGCCTGTTTTATTCCTCCAAGCCTCTTCCATGTTATTCATTCTAACCATATACCTTTCCCCAGCCGCCTGTCTGGGCAACGTTCATCTCCTGTAATCTAGCAGCAGTTAGAGGTTTCACTTTCCAATGCACTTCATAGAAATTTCTACCATCACTTACCTAGCTATATAGAGGTTTTTTACATATAACATAATTCTTGCTATCATTAGATTATGAGTTCCTAAGTCATCTCTAGTATCCGGCCTAGTACTTAATATAAAACAAGTTCAGTCAACATTTAATGACTAGATGGGTTGACAAATAAATGAATGAATATTCTATGATAAAAATAAAAATAAATCACATTCAAAATTATTTTGGAGCTGGAGAATACAATGAGAATATTATAAATAAGAAAACAGAATGTCCATGATAAAAGAATATCATACAACTTTTCATGTATGACTTAATGCTATGACATATCTGTGATAAATTAATATGAAAAGTTTAGCCAAAGACCATAAAAAATACAAGCAGGACTTTAAGATCATTTGGGTCAAAAATATGATTTTTTACTTTCTTAAATTTAAACAATATATATTCTGTTAGGTCCTACACAAAATGACAAAGATTAATTTAAAAATAAAGAAGGCTTTAAAGTTGTTTGCATCAAAGAAATCTAACTTCATTTAGCATTACTCAAATTCATAATCATTGTGAATATCTAATGGATCTATAATATTAAAAATGGAAATTATTTCACGAATAAAAATCAGATAAAATCAATTTCATCAAAATACTACCTGGTTTTTTTTTCTTTTCTTCTTTTCTTTTTTTCTCACTATATTTTTCTTCACCACCTGTTTCACTGAATAACATTTCAGGTATCTAAAACAAGAAGAGCATTTCTTTAAAGCTTATAATATCTAAAAACTCTTAACACAAAAAAAAAACCCTTAACACAAGAAAAACAGTATCAACTGTACTTTTATTCTAGATTCTTATCAGACTAAGAGAAAACAATAAAAATAATAATAAGGTATCAAGCTTTAAGATACACTGTTTCCTAGACAAGATTTTGATTCATGTCAACCATTAATTCATTGCAAATTAATGACACATAGGAAAAAGCTCAAACATATCACTTGAAAAATGGTTAGTATATAGCAGATGAAGAAAGTCACAATTTGGATTGAATTAGGAAATATTTACAAATTTCTATTTAAAATCATACAATACTAAAAATAGTATGCTTTACTTGGTATCAAACTAATAAACTGCTGTCATGGCATAAAACTGAGATAACAAGAATCCTTAGCTTGACTGAATAGTAACCAAAAGTAAATGAAAATAATTTAATAATTGATAATTGTAAAAACCATCTGATGTCTAGCTACAGCTATATTTTTGTCACTGTCACAAATAAGAAAATAAACTTTCATAAACAGATCATTAGTATAGAAAATATGATAATCTTATGAGTACTATTTAAATTTTTTTTTAAACTTAGTTTCCTGAGGAAAAAAATTAAAGTAGAACTCTGAAATTTTTAAATTAAGCCAAAATGCTTCAACTTCTTCCACATGATACAGCTAACCTTAATAGCATGAGGAAGCACAAGCAATCCAGGCAATTCGGTCAAATAATCGTTTTCTGAACTTCTCAGACTAAATAAAATGCAAGCTAAAAGATCCTTTAACTAGTGGAGAGTCTGAAAGTGCCACTGTTCTTGAGCCAGAGAGCATGTGTTTTCTCAAACTTCACTTATTTCAGACAAAAAGCCTCTGTGAGCATATTTAAATTTACACTTTAAATCAATGGAAATTTGTTTCTTTAGAAACTCACCTTCTTTAAAACAGTCTATCCCTTATGTTAATTAGCTTGATTGTGATAAATATTTTAAAACATAAACATATATCAAAACATCATGTAGTACACACCTAACTACACAATTTTTATTTGTCAATTATACCTTAATAAAGCTGGGGGAAAAAATGTCTATCTCAAGCAATATCCTACATTATCAACGTTTTCGAGCCTGGATTTGTCCACATTCCCCTTTGTCTCTACTTTCCCTCCTTGGAGATAAAAATGGAACTTTCTAAAAAGGCTGAATGAGTGTATTAACCCTATTAATTCCTATTAATACCCTCACCTCTCAATTCCTTGAACTCCTCTCCTTCTGTAATCTTATCCACTATGTCTTACTCAGCCACCCATTCCCACCTCAATGGTCATATCGTGAGACCTCATCATTCACAATAACTGAAATCATTCCATCGTCTCACAGCAAACTCTGGTACTATTATCTACACTCCTATCTTATAAGCTCATTCCCTTTGCAATGTCAATAATCCTCAGACTCCACGAAGACCTATATTAATTTGATTACATTTACACTGTCATTCACCATCTTCCTATCACAACTTCTCAACTTACCTGGCCCTCACTTGCCTTGTATAATTGAGTAGCAAAGTCCTATTCCTAGTTAAATAAAAATCATCATCTATTGTAGGTCTGGACTTGTGAATGCATATGCAACTAGAGAAAAAAACACTCAAGTACGCTGACTGGCCTCAGCTGAATTTGAAGAGCACTAATGTCAAGTGAACCCTTAATACTACCTAGCTATCATGCTCCGTTTCCTACACCTTTCACTCGTTGACTCTTCCAAACTATTTTCACATCGTCTTTCATACTTTCATAAACTACCATTTCATATCCTCTCTTCAAAGACTCCAAAATCTCTTCCCTCAACATTTCTCTCAACTGATAATCTTGCTTCCAATTCCACTGAGAAAATAGAGAAGGGTGTCCAAAACTTCCCAGTACCACACCTGCCCATCTACCTGGATCTGGGCTCCTGTACTCTGCTCTCTTTCCTGTTATTGTGGATGATACTTCCATTCTCCAAGTAAAGGCCAAGCCTTGATCCTTTCATTTGTGCACAAGACCCATATGATGTCCACTACTCAATGATATGTTCTAACAATTTTTCCATGTATTTGTTTCCTTTTCTCTTTACAAACAGCATATTAATGTCCTATAGTTTTGTCCCATCTTAAAACTTAAAAAGAAAAAAAAAAACATGCTATTTTTTACCCACAATGCACTCTCCAGTTACTGACTGGCTCATTTCTCTCTTCTACTTTATAACAAAATTCCTCTAAAAAGGTGACCATATTCACTCGCTCTAATCCTCTCTTCTCATTCTTTCTGAAATGTATTCCAATGTGGATTTTTCCACTACTAACTGAAATTTCTTTAGCAAAGTCACCAATGACCTGGGTGTTACTAAATCCAGTGACCAATTCCCAGGTCTCCTCCACTTCAGGTGTCACAGTGCACCGTTCGTTACTCCTCTGGAAGGTGTCTTCACTTGGCTTCTAACGCCTTGCTCGTCTTCAGGCACTCCTGGTCTTTCTCCTGCTTCTCGGGACCCTCTGTTGGCACCTCCTCTTCATCTCAACCTCTTAGTGTTGATGTACCTCGTGGGCTCAGTCCCTGGATCTCCTCCCTCTTTTGTCAACACTCACTCCCTTAGTGATAATATTCACTCTCATAGCTTAAATACCACCAACACTCTGATAATTCCTAAATTTTTATCTGTATGCCTGACCTTTCCTCTGAACTCCAAAATCACATATCCAAATGCCTTCTTAAGCTTGCAACTGGGATGTCTGCCATCTCATATTAACACATCTAAAAGTGAAATCCTCATATTTTCCTCTCAAAATGCTCTTCTCACAGTCTCATACTTCCCAGTAGACAGTTATTCCATCCTTCCAGGTACTCAGGCCAACGTATCTGCAAGTAGCTTTGATGTCTCACTTTCTCTTATATCTTACTATAATCTGTAGGCAAATTCTGTTATTTCTACTGAAAAACTTCCAGAATTCAACCACTTCTCACCACCTCCACCACTACATCCCTAGGGAAAGCCATCCTTTTCTCTCATAGGGATATTGTAATAGCTTTGCATCTGGTTTGACCCTTGCCCTCCACAGTCCCTCTACACCCCAGAAACCAGAGTGATCCCATCACATTAGAACAGTTTTGCTCAGAAGCCTCCAAAGTCTCCCTTACTTGTTCCTAGAAGAGCTAAAATCCTTATAATGGCTTAGAAAGCCCCACCCTAAGTGTTCTCCACTTACTTCCCTGGTCTCATCTCCAACCACTCCCACCTGTGATCATCATTACAGGTGAACTGATGAACTGCCTTCTTGCGGACCTGCAAACTACCAGGCATGCTCTCCTCTCGGGATCTTCACCTAGAGAGCTTCTCCCCTGGATGCCTCCCAAAACAAAGTGAATTCCATGAAGGCAGGCACTTCTGTCTGTTTTTTCCTCTGCTCTATTCCAAACATATAGAACAGTGGCACACATTAAACACCTAATAATTACTGCTTAATGAAGGCCTCTTGTTCATGTGGTTTTTTCTAAGACTAGAATAGCTTTTTTCTCCTTTATCTGCTTACTGAAATCTGACTAAAATATTATCCAATCTTGTCTCTTACCCCAAATTACACTCTTTTCCTCTGAATCATGATAGGTATGAGTCTGTACTTCAATTGTATAAAAATTAACAAATGAATGAGACTATGAATATCATTCAAAGGGACAATATTGAAACTTTTTATTTATTCAAACAAAGGCTTCTAGCTAAGATACTGCTGAGTTCCCAATTTAGATTCATCCCCCTCCACATAGCCCAGCAATGAGATCTTTTAAAAGGATTTTTTTAATTTAAAAACATTGCTAGAATTATTACTATGATGTTTTTATTAAAGACTAACCTATGATAGGCTAATGACATGCACAAAATTTTTTGACTATAGTAAATATCTCTGTGTGCCTTAATTAAGAACATAACCTTTAACCTAAAATTCTATAATCAACTAAGCTATCATTACAAAAGTATGAAGAAAATAGAGATGTTTTCAAATACACAAGAGCTGTTCAGTGCCACAATTAAGGCAATATTATAACACCAAGGGCAACTTGCGAAAATCAGTAACTTTAGACATAAAATGTGTTTTTTTTCATTTCCATGATTTAAATGCTAAACTTACTTTCTTCATACTGCTGTCTGACCAGCCCTCCATCCACAGCACCTGGCATTTCTTATGCAAAGCTGGATTACTCTCACAGTTTATTATGAAGTTTACATTTGTAGAATCCATGATCAAAACAATATGCAAGTTTTGTTGAATTCCTAAAAAATATACAAGACAATGATAATCATGCAATATTACAACAATAATAATTAGAGCAACCTATATATAGGTTGGTTTCGTGAGACTGAAATTTTCAAAATTGAATTGTTAATTAAAAAGAACAAGCTATGAAACAGTAGTACAGTCTCATTTTTATTTTGGTTAAAAAATACTTGTATGTGTATGTGTGTGTGTGTGCCTGCTAAGAGAAAAGATCCAGAAGGAGATTCCTGAAGAAGTCTATATACTGTATTGTATTTTATGTTACTTTTCAAATGTGATATGGATTCTATTTTATAATTTTTTCTTTCAAAGATTTTTGTTTCAATATTCCCAGGCAAAATTGGTATCTGGTTTTATTTTATGACAAGTATCTTATCACTTTTTCAACATCAATGTTATTTTCCCTTCATAAGAAAGGAATTTGGAAACTCTCTTTCTGTGATTTAAAACAGTTTAAAATACCATTGGGATGACTTGTTTCTTAAAGCTGTGGTATAATTTCTGGGTAAGCTTGAAGCAAAGAGATAACTTTCTCTACTTTAGGAAAGATAAGAGTAACAGCAAAGTTTGGATGTTGTGATTACTGCCTTACTCTTTACTTTTCAATTTTAGATATCTGTAGTATACATAAAACTGCCTCTGTCATAATAAAAGGTTATTTGGCTTTAAAAAAACTATATCAGGCACAATCTAAACAGTTCAATAATTCTCTAAGATAGGAAGTACTAAGCACTGCTCTTAACACATGAAAACGAGGGCAGCAAAGAAACGTTCCAAAGAACATAACACTTCCATCCCTCACTTTTGCTAATACTTTGCTAACATGTTCTTACCATAGGTCATTCTTTAGGCTAGTTATATGTTATTTTCTAAAAGTTCCATGAAAAAGAAAAAAGTATAAATTACCAAATGGACCTAAGATTTAAGATAGCTTTGCAATCTAATGACGAAACAAAGAAAATTAAATGGTATTCATTTCACATGAACTACAGTTTGAATTGACTGATGAATTCTATGTAACTTACTATATGTGAAGTAATTGAAGACTGGTCCAAAAAACCCATCCTGTGAAGCCTGATCTTTAAGAGGTAACAGCAAGGGCTCTAATTCTTCAAGAGTATAGAGTCCAGGCACTTCACCTACAGAACATTACAATTCTTTTGAATTTTAGCTGCATTACACCAATTTAAAACACATTTTACATATATGATATTTTTTCTATTTTTTGTTAAGTCATCTGCCCTTACTTAATCCTTGTTTCCAAAAATACACAAACCCTATCACCTCTGTATTACTCACAAATCTACAACATAGCCTTTATTTACAAAATTCAAATTCCTACACAAGCTATTCAAGACAGTTCATAGTCTAGTCATTTACCTGGATTATATACTCTTCCTACTCAAGACCTTATCTTTTAGTACAGCATGGAGAATATAGCCAGTGGTTCTGTAACATCTATGTTGACAGATAGTAATTGCACTAGTTGGGGTGAGGATTTAATAATGTAACGGCTGAACCACTGTATACTTGAAACCCACATAACATTGTATGTCAACTATACTTCAATTTAAAAAAACAGAATTATACTCTAGCCTCAATGAACTTCTTTGTGTTCCACAAATATAATGAAATACTCCCTCTTCCTGGATTAAATATAGTCTTCCTCTGTCCCCTTTCTTTCCAAAAATTGCTGTTTATCCTTTAAGATACTATTCTGCCAACTGCTATGCTCATGAGACTTTCCTGACTACCTGAGTGCTGAGTAAAGCATTAATTTCCCTCTTATATAATATCCAAACATATCACTTTTAAGTATTTATCACATGACTTAATAATAAATTAATCACTTCCCTTTCCTGCCAATAGATGCTGAATTCCCAGAGGACAAACATTTGATCATGTTTAATATTAAATACTTAGCAAAGTATTTAGAACATAAATATTTGTTAGATAAATGAATGAATGTATGAGTGAACAAATAAGTGAATGAAACTTGTATTAGAAATCAGGAGAACTAACTAGTCCATGGCCCACTACTGTGCAAAAGAATGACTAAAGACAAATCAAAATTGATTAAGACCGTAATCATTTGACAGAGGGTCTGAGCCTTGTCTTCTTCACCATTACAATATTAAGAATTGGGTCTGGCATAAAACAGGTGTTTAATAAATGTGTATTTAACTAAAATATTTATATTTTGCAAGAAACTATAAGATTAAGTGAAAATTCCTTTGCTACACACCCAAAGCACTGAACTCACATAGGGTTCACCCCAGTCTGACCCCTTTTTCTTTAAGGTCAACTCAGAGGTACCTGATCACTTACCAGCCCCACAAGCTTGTACATATTCAAACACATAAATCTTCTCTATGTCTTTCTCTAAATTTCAGACATACCAAGATACTTTTGATTCCTTAAACTCAGCAAAGAAAATTATCTCTGCTTACACAATATAAACTATAGGGGAATGAGATTTTGAAATAGAAAAAAGAGACAAAGAGCTACTGAGTACTTTCTATGAAAGTATTTTTCAAATATATTTTTTTTTGCCAAAAAGGTTGGCCAAATTTAACTCCATCAAAATTTAACTTTATCATTTTTACAGTTATACCTTGATAAGAGATCAATTTATATAAGGTATTTTTTTAAGATACCAATAATCAACATGTTAATGCTTATCTGGATGTTTGCATTCACAAAAGAAAACCAAAAAAACTGTTATCTCGTCTACTAGTTTATCCCAGCCAAAATGAACACGGTCTCCATCTAGTGACAACTTAAGCAATATGCAGGAGCTTAAATAATCTATAAATTCTATAAAATCAAATTCTATAAAAAAGCCACAAACACTTCAGGCTTGCTCAAGACCTACTACTTTCATTAAACCATTATATCTTAACTCTTTTAACAGAAATTGGCCTACCACCTACCTAACTAGGGTCCTGGGCTATCTCATTTGGACACTAAAGTAAAGATATCTCATATTATAAAACAAACATTTCCTTCAATCCAAGCTGTTAAATTCTGAAGAAAATACTATTATCTCCGATCCTAGCTAGCATGATATAAAACAAATATTTATTAAAAAGCGAATTAAACATGAGTAACATATAACTTTGTTTTTGTCCTCTGATCTCCACAATGGAATAACTCATACAGTTGGAACTAGCTTTTAACAAGTTTTATTTCATACTTAAATAACAAAAGACTCTTGGTCCAACTTTAAAACTAAGCTACCTCATAACAATTATACTAACACTGATTACTCATTATAAAGAGATACTAAATAAATTCCAAAAATTCTTTAGGAAAAGAAGAAATACAAGAAATTGTATCCTCTCCAATAAACCATCAAAAAGGCCAGGAGGCTCCAGAGATAACAAGAATATACCACAATTTGAGAAATACGAGATCTCATATATCTAGACTATATCTGTGCTCATATAGCCAAATAAGGTCATATCATCATTACATAACCATTCCACTAATGATGGATGGTCAAGTTACACTAAAATTTTTATTATATACTACACATTTCCTTACATACTTCTAATTCTGTAGGTTAATTTTCTTCAGATAATAGAATTGCTATATAAAAGGGTATAGCATATATTTTAAATAAGTACTGGTTGGTAACTTTCCTAAAAGGTTATAACAGACAGGAGTCCAACCAAAAATGAGAGGACCAATTTTTCTGTACATTCACCAACATTCAATATTATTAATCATTTTTATGTAATTCCTCAATCACTTAGTTTTATAAAAACAGGCTCTCTAAATTCTCTTGTTTCAAGCATGTTTCACCTCATGTTACTCTAGTAAAAGCTATGCCAAAATATCTCTGAAACCTAATTTTACACAGGATAATTTTACTTGAAGTATTTTTATATTATTACTTTTATTTATTTTTTAACAGGAACCATTCACTTGCCTGAAGATAAAAGGCTATTGATCATCTCCAAAAATGCATGATGTACGAACTGGTAATCCTCAAGAAGTAAAACTACCTGTTGAGCTTCAATACCGGCAAGATGCAGCACCTGTGCAAAAGAAAATATATTTCCATGCCAATTAAATATTTTTGGCACAGTTAAAATCTTTCATTCTGTATGTAAACAAAGTCTATTTATTCATACATTTACTCATTTGCTCATTCATTCATATTTGAGTAATCAAAATAAAATTCAAACTTTATCTCAACAGTTTAGAAAGTAAATCCAGTCCATGAATGAATACTAATTGGGAGAATAGTTACTTATTTTACAGCTAGGATATTAAAACAAAAGCTAAAGGATCATTTTTATATATACCCATATAGATCCTATAGAAATTCCATCCTTTTGCTTATCTTCCATCTAACATCCCCCAATCTGGGGTACCTGAGAGCTAGAAATCCTACAGGAATCTTTTCCTATCTGTACACAAAAATATAAATTTTTATTAATAATGGGGAAAATAATTATTAAAATTAACAAACACTATATTTTATATGAAACTGAAAGGTCTTGAAAAACTTTTAGAATAATAACTAATTGTGATTTAAAACCAAATAAAGCAAGAGACTGTAACTCACATGTTTGAGATCATTTTTGAACTGCTTTAGTTCATATCCTCTGGAGATCTTTGGAGAAAATAGCACTGCTCCATGCATATGACTGACTAAAGAAGTGGCGGTGCGGCGACCCACACCACTACGTCCTGCTAACAGAAGCGAACCTCCAGGAAAACTCAGCACTCTATCTATCCTAGACATATACTCCAACACTTCTTGGAAAAGTAAAATATTTAAATTCTGGTTATCACGTCCATAATGAATAAGACCCTTTTAAAAAATCACAAAGAATAATTTATAATTAATAAGTGCCACAATTACATAATAATAATGTTACCTAGATGAAGATAATATATTTGATGCACTCTAGAAAAGGAGTTAAGTGACTACATGTCATCTCAGACTCTACATTTTATCTATTCAGTAATCCAGCATAGGGTACTTTTTGAGGAAAAACTTGCATGATGTCAAACAATTTCAAGGGTTCACAATAATCAGTTGTTTTTGGACACCATTAATACAATTAATAAAAAGCAATGTGAGATAGCAGGTTAATTATAAAAACTTCAAAAGCTCTCAATTTTTACCCATTGTTACAAATCAAATAAGTATGCACAGAACATTAAACAATCCCAAAACTCTAGGAACCCAGTGCCTAAAATCTTTTGTGAACTCATGTTCTCATACACTGCTTGGATATGAGTGGAAAGCCCACAGACAGGTAGTATACCCCACCAGGAGCTATGTGGTAGAGAGAAGAAAGAGAGAACACCTAGACTTGCATACTTAAGTTTCAACATTCCCAAACTTTGAAATATCCATCCCGGGTAAATTAATCAGTTTACTAGACCATGAGCAACCTTTCTTGATATAAAATCCACACTAATGTCCAAAATTAATATTAACTTTTAAAGCTATGATATATAATACTATTTCTTCTTCTTTACTGTAATTCAACTTTTAAAAAAAACTTTGTAGTAAAACAGGGGAAAAAGAGGGGGCAACCCCTGTCCAGTTGGAGCAAGATAAGGGCTCTGAGAAGGACAAGTGGGATGCTTACTAAGGACCTTGAGAAGGTGAAAAATGGGAGACTTGCAGCTGAACCAGTTCAACAATGTGAAAAAGGTTCTCACTGAACCTCTGTGATAAAGAAGCAGTTTTACTAACTGTAAGTCTGGTAAATCACCAGGTAAAAATAGAAATGACCTTCAGTATAATTGGCTACAATACCTTCTCTCCCTAGTTGACGCAACAGGCATAAAACTCCTAGACCTGAGCACAAAAACAGCAGCCTTGCCCTCCCAGTAATATACACCTGAGAGTTCTGCACCTTTACTTCTTTCAGTACAAAATAAATAAATAAAAAGCCTCTTGCGTGCTTGCCGACCTTGGATGTTTGCGAAGTTCATTCTTCGACTCCGTAAACAAGAACCCCAGCATCACTAGGGCAGTGCTACTCCACATTTCAGGGAGTCACGAGCATCAACATCACTAGGGAGTCTGTTAGAAATCTGGATTCTTTGGGCCCCACCAACGGAATCGGTCTTCCTCGGTGTGACCTCAGAATCAGCATATTTTCTGGTTCTGGAAGTGATTCTGATGCTCACCAAAGTTTGACACCACTGCTCTGGGATGATTTCCCAATTAATATTAAGCCTCCTTAATATTTCCGACATCAGATACCTTCTGCCAATGTGTATCTTAGCAATTTACCCATATCTGTGTAAGTATATGTATATCTAGTTAGATCTGCCACAATGGTCTAAATTATAAAAGATAAGAACCAGCTTTATCTATTCATTATCTTTCATTCCCTGCCCTCAAAGAACTTGGAATAAATATTTTTTAAACGATTATAACAAAATACCAGTTCAAATTTGTGATTTATATTATACCTTTTTAATAACATCCTTGAGATCTGCAGAATTTAGTTTTCCAAGTGGTTTTCCATGTGGAGGCAATGGTTGTCCTAGGGCTGCCCTTGTTCCTAAATTGTGTTGGGCTCCCCATGTCACATAGAAACTATCTGTAAAAATGAAAGATATTTTTGTATGATGTGTTATTTGTAATGAGAGTATCAGTAAATACACTGCTCACTAAATTATTTAAGCTAATTAGTCCAAATAAGATCATCCCCAGAAAGGCAAATTATTTTACAGTATGCCAAGGAAGATCAACAAGGTCAATTAAGACACAAAGACTGTAAACTGCAATATCAAACTCTACCTAAGAATTGATGGTACCCCTGTTCTATCTTTGCCCCCTACTTCTCTTTTCCCAAATAAAGTGACTTCCTTTTAACTTTATCCTACTGTTCCCATTCTACTTTCAAGTTATTCCATTTTCTTTCTCCTCCTCCACAACACTGATGAAAGAAAGCAAAGAATATATAAATAAATGGGCAGGTGTATCATGTTCATGGATTAGAAAACCCAACATAATATTCTCCCCAAACCATAGAGTTAATGTAATTCCTATCATAACCTCAGCAACACTGTTCATACATATAGACAAGATTATTCTAAAATTTATATGGAAAGATAAAGGAACTGAAATTGCTAAACAATTTTGAAAGACACAAATAAAGTAGGAGGAATCAGTCTACCCAATTTCAAGACTTACTATATAGATACAGTCATCAAGACAGTGTGGTATTGGTGAAGGACAGACATATACATCAATGGGACAGAATGGAGAACCCATAAATAGACCCACACAGCTAATTTTTGACAAAGGCACAAAAGTAATTCAAGGCAGAAAGGTAGGCTTTTCAATAAATGGTAGCAGAGCAAGTGAACATCCACAGGCAAAGAAATGAACCTTGACCTAACTCTCACTGTTTATACAGAAATTAACTCAAAATGGACCACTGACTTAAAATATGAAACTATAAAACTTTCAGGAAAAAATGTAGGATAAAATCTTTAGGATCTAGGACTAGAGTTTTTAAACTTGACACCAAAAGATACTTAAAAAGAAAAATTATAAGTTCATAAAATGAATACTTTTTTAATCTGTGAAAGATCCTACTTAGAAGATAAAAAGACAAACTACAGAGTGGGAGAATATACTTGCAAACCACATATTTGGCAAAAGGACTATAATCAAGAATATATAAAGAACTCTCAAAACTCAGCAGCAAAAAATAAGTAGTCCAGACAGAAAATGGGCAAAAGACATGAAGAGAAAATATTTTACTGAAGAGGAAATACAGACAGCAAATGAGCACATGAAATGATTCTCAATCTCATTAGCTGTCAACAAAATGCACATTAAAACTACAATGATATATCAATACACACTTATCAGAGAATAGCTAAAATTAAAAATGGTGATAATATGAAATGCTGGCAAAGATGTGGAGCAATTGGGTCACCCATATATTGCTGATGGTAATGTAAAATGATACAGCCACTCTAGAAAACAGCATGGCAGTTTGTTTGTTTTTTCCCTGAAACTAAGCATACAAGTACTATACAACCCTTCAATTGCACTTCTCTTCTGATTATCTATTTCAGAGAAACAAAAACATATGTTCACACAAAATCCTGTTCATGAATGCAAACAGCAACTTGCCCCTTAATAGCCAAAAACTGAAAATGACACAGATGTCCTTCAACAAGGAAATGGTTAAAGAAGGGAAGGGGTAGAACATCTGAATACCTATTCAACAATAAAAAGGAATAAAGTACTGAAACATTCAACAGATATCTCCAGAGGATATTGAGTGAAAATAACATTCTTGAGGGGATGAGAGGGGAAAGATGTGGCTACAGAAGGGCAACATGATAGCTCCTCGTGGTGATGCTCTGTTCGCTTTACTGTATCAATGTCAACATCCTAGCTGTAATGTTGTACTATAATACTGCCAGATGTTACGTTACCCCTGGGGGAAAGCCAAATACAAGGTACATGTGGTCTCTCTCTGTTCTTACAACTGTACGGGAATTGACAACTATCTCAAAATAAGAAACTTTTTTTAAGAAGTTTCAAACTAACTTCCTCAAAAAAAAAAAACAGAATTAGCCTCTACCTCTTCTACACTCCTAACATCTAACATTTATTCCAGACACATTCAGAAAAGTTATATTAGTTATGAAACACTTTGTGTCTTATTTTAATTACCAGTTAAACTACTATGTACTTGCACAAATCTTCCTGGCACCTAAACACACTAGCAATAGTTATCATTTTAAGCAAGGACTTTCATATCTGTATTTGCCATTAGATTACCAGGTTCTTAAGCACAAGAATGTGTCTAGTTTGTTTTTAAGTCTCCAAGATTAAATTTTTCTTAATAAATTATTATTCCACTATGTGAAATTCCTATTTGTCTAAATCTAATGTATATCAAACCTGTATTTTTAAACATTACAACCCTTCATTGAAAAGTAAAATACAGAGGGGAAAAAAGTATATATTATTTATTCAGTCCAATATAGGACACCATGAAAGATGAACTCTATAGAATTCCCAGTAAGACATGATACAGTCTAATATCCAAAGGATATGCCACTTTCTTTTCAAGAAGAGACACTATTAACTCAATTTTCAGACTAAGAAAGATGGCATCATTTAAGACTTCCCCACACTAAGCCATGAGAATCACAAGCCACAATGGCATAAACTCAAAATCAAGCCAACTCTGAACTCTTATCAGGCTTCTCTCAGCATTTCACCCTGCCTGAGGTCCTTTGAACTCTTCTCCTGATCCCAAAACTTAAACAGCACCTAGAAAATTCCTTCTATCAATATCAATATTCTTCTCACCTTCAAGATTACATTTGACTTATGTAATTATGACCCTGGGACCAATACCAAATTTAGAAACATGCAATAGATAGAATGTATTAGATGAATTATTTCTGAAGTCTAGCTTTACACTCTAACCAAATAGAAACTCATTTTGCAGATTGAAAGCAGTTTTATTAGAAAATATTTCCATATTATAGTCTTGTTTATCAAAGGCCCTTTCACCATAATGATTTTCATATTACATGCATTACTCCCATAGCAGTTTTCAAAATGTATATTTATTACTAAGCAGTAATATTTGTAAATGCAACATAGTAGCTATGAATGAATGGTGCTATAATTTGTCATAACAATGGATAAAGCTGGTAACAAAAATATATAAGAAGTTCTGTGCTAATGATATTGTGAGTAGTAACAGGAATGAGAGAAAGGCCATTACTCTTAAGCCAAAGTTCATTATAATCAAATACAGATTTCTCAATGACCTTTAGGTTTCATACATATGTGGCTATTTAAAAAACTATTAATAAAAACCCTTCAGTAAACATGATATTGAATTACTAATGTGTGGCCTGTATCCCCTTTTTTCAGGAAAACAAATATTGTCATATTTTGTTTGGAACATAATTATTGGAATCTAGCAAAAAAAGAGCAGCTCTCGATAAGACAGATCAAGTTTTTGTTTGGACATTTGAAATCATGCTACTAGTAAGAAAAATAATTTTAAACTTCTCATAACATTTAAATATCTATATAAACTGTAACTATATTACCTGCCATATTGTCTAACACATCTGAGCCCCAATCTTCTTGAAACACTGATGTTAAAATGCTGTCAAATAAATGAAGTTCCTTTGCACCAACAATTTTGTCACGAAATAAACGCTGTGCTTCATATGCTACAATTTCTAGTACATAATCTAGTGGATGTTTTGAGGATCCTGTAAAAGGCAAAAATTTCTTTAATTATAACAAAATTCAAATGCTTTAAAAATGGTCTGTTTCCACATAATATTAGAAAGAAATAGGAAATGAGAATCTACATACCACAATTTTTGGCATCAGATAAATGGAAGAAAAGGAAAAAAAGTTAAAATTCATTTTGTTAATGAGTTGGTAAATTTCTTTGATTATTTAAAGGACACATTAAGCACTATTATTTTGAGTTGTTCAATAAAAGAAATTAATCCCCAAAATTACATTAAACATGCTTTGGCTACAAAGAATAATCTCATTCTTCCCAAAATCAAAGTTTACAAGATGAAACATAATTTTAACATTAATTTTTAAATTTAATGTTAATATTTACATTTAAAATCAGTATTTTAATTATAATTTTAAAATACTATAATTAGTTACTATACTTATTTAATGTATTACAAATACAATATACAACATAAATACAAACACACACAGAAACACAGACACTCTATGGCATTCTAAAGAAAGATAAGTTATTTGAAATCATGAAAGCGAAACTTACCTCCTTCTAAATCATATCTGAATAAGCCAAGAACCCACTGAGTAAGGATGCAAGGAGTAAAGAAATAATGACTATAATCATCAACTGTAAATTTGGCCCGCACCTGAAAACAGAAAATATTGGAAAAGATCTATCTACTGCCTTAGGTATATATTTAAGAAAGCCATAAATTTTTAAGTCACCTTAGACTAAAAGAAATGCCAATCTCTACCAGTGGTAGAAAAGTATTTCAATATATCTAATTACCTTACTTATCTTATATATTATATTTTATGCACTTAAAAACATTTAAGAGGGGTTGTTCATAGGATTCAACAAACTGCCAAAAGTTGTTCATGGCAAAAAATAAAACAAATGGTTAAAAAGTCCTGCTGATGAAAGAAATTTAAAGAAAGCTAACCTAAGGTTTATAAAATGGTGGTTGCAATCCCAAGGCACTCATAGCTATAGGGAAGACCCATTTTCTAATGGTGAGAACCGAAAAGATATTTTATATTCAGTAAGTCCTTGAACTTTTAACAAATCAAAGGGCCACTCCTCAATATATAACCAGTAAAGAGACTGTGCTTTCCTCCATCATTCTTATTCTGGCCTTGCTCACTTAACATTCGAATTAATTTAGAAAAAAGATAAAGGAACTTCTTGTTTTCGAACCTATCCTTCCCCATTTCTACTCCAATAGTATAAAAAGCATCTACAAAACTTCTATAACTTTAACATGCTATTCCCTTCACCTCCAGCCATCTTGTGAATTTCTATTCATTTTTCAAAATTCATCTCAAAAACTACCACACAAGGCAGTTATTTACTCCCTCTTCTATTCTATCTCTGTAACTTGTGCACATTGTTATTGTTATTGTTATACTTATCACACTTATTAATAGTGTATTTACATAATGAGGTCCCCTCATTAGACTGTGAACTTCCACAAAACAGAGACTCAATCCCTTTGCTTCCTTACAACTAGCACTGCAAAGAGAAGGCTTTCAGTAAATGTTTTCCTCATCCTTAATGCCCATTTTCAAGTATTGTCCCACTTAAGGAAAGATATTTTAGACATTTCCTCACAGGTAATAGGAAAGAAAGAAATATCAAAGACTACTCTCAGGTTTGAAGCCTAAAGGACAGAGAACCAAGAGAAAAGACTACTTTTTTCTTGTGATGCAAGTCAAGAGAAAGATCTAATTTTGGAAAGATGAATTCCATTCTAAATATGCTAAATTTAAGCTGAAGGCATAACCATCCACCACTGATTCATTCATTTAACATTTATTGAATATCTATTAGAAACTGTGTCAGGGAATACAATAGGCACTAAAACACTGAGCATCTGCCCTCACTAGTTTACTCACTAGCAGAAAAGTCTAACAACAGGAAAAGAGCGTCTGAGTATTAACACAGGTCTGGATTAAAGGTAGTCTTTTTTGGAGTGATACCAAAAGACATGAAAACTACAAGAGAAATGAATAGATACCTGTTCATACACTTGTACCATAGAGCCTGCTAGAAGATAAATTTTCGAAGAAGAACCCCAAATAGAATGATTTTTCAGATTTTTATGTAGAACTGGTTCCAAATACGCTCCATAAATTGTCTGTAATTGTTCTCTTTCTGGATAACTAAAAAAGGACATATAGGAAGAAGCGGAAATAAATCAATAATCTAAAATTATTTTTATGTTAGGTTACAGCAGTGTTTTTCAAAATGTGCTGCTCTGAGACCTAGGTATCTCCAAAGTTTACTCAGGGGCCTAGCCCAAGCTCAAGATCACTATTCTGACTTCAACCAAATTAGTTCCTTTGTTATCTGTTGTCAAATACTGAGGGTCCTAATAGAGGATTCCAATGAAACTACTTAAAAACATAATTGTTTGAAAAAAAACACTTTAGAAGGGGCCAAAATGAAAATTCTGCTTAAGAAAAAGCATTTTGAGATAAGTATAGCTGTAATCCACCTCAGAACTATAAAAGAAGGACAAATGAAATCAACTACTTCTCTTAAACCATTATCCATTTTGATATAGCAGATTAATTGGTGGCTGTAATATTCTGAAAGAAAAATGTTAATAAATTGATGCAGTTATCATGAAAGCATAAAAACACGATTATGTAAGGCAAATTAAATTATAACAGAGGAGGTAGTGCTGAAACTACAAAATTTAAGAATCCCTGTAACAATTATGGACCATGGAGATGGGTGAATGTTTTAGGATTAAAGCTATCAACGAGTAACATGAACTAACTCTACCTTATTCAGATTTAAATTCTCTTTTAGTTATCTTCATAAAATCTGATAGCATTTTTGTTTTATGAATGCCATAAAACATTTAAATGTAAAATCCACCATTCAAATTCCTGATATTGACATTTTAGAACAGAGTTAATACAAAACAGTTCTATTTTATTTCTAATATATAAGAAATGTAGTTTAGGAAGGTTAGGGAAAAAAACAATATCAGAACAAGTTTGACTATTTTTATTTTCTGTATTTTGAAGAAACATCATTAATAATAGATAACTTTAAAAAATGCCAATTTATAAGATGGTCCACCCCCAAACTATACAATGCTAAGATACATACTCTATAGCACAAAGACGAACAATAGAAGTAAATCTGGTAGTAAGCTTCTGTCTTCCCAGTCTTCCTCCAGCTGACATCGAAGCCACAATTTGAATATTTTCTAAACCAACCCACTCCAAATTTTCATCATAAAATCCTTGATATGTCAATACCTATTTGAAAACAAGTGTATTTTAAATGTTTTATGCTTTAAATTTTCTAATCATGATATAAAATTATTTGCATAAAAGTTCATTCTTTCCAAATTCAATCATTATCCTCTACCTAACTCAAGAGTTTAAGATTGAAATATATCTTAAATTCTTATTACATTGAAAAATACTCTTCAGGACCATGCTCAATTAACATTAGATGAATTACCCTAATTTTTAAAATGTTTAGCTCTCCAAATAAATATTAAAATCCAGATAACAATACAAATCTACCAGCAATTATCAAAAAAGTGAAAGAAATCAAGAGAAATGTAAGAAAAATATTTTGGGTTTTTTCTATAAATATTTTATTATATTCTGCAGTTACATAGCAAAGCTAAATTTGAACCTACATAAGCATAATAAGTTCAAATTTAGAAGTTAGGGTTTCTAATGTGACGTATATCACATAAGAAATAGAATCTTTCACATGGATGAAGAATGCATCATCTCCAACTCTTACACAGGTAAAGAGGGAAACTAATGGGCTAAAAAAAGCCAGAAAGGAGCACTACTAAGGAAGTCCAAATACTCTCAGAATGCATATCTAAAAACATTAAGCAGAAACGTCTCCAGCTCCGGCACGACCCCTGCTTCTGCTTCCTTCCTTGTCTTAAAGGATAGATAACAAGTGTAGGGTAAAGGTTGTTTTTACTCTTCCTGTCATGTATCATCCCAATGTAATACTAACTTCTAAAACATTAAGATCCAAGACAGTAGCCCTGGAACAAGACTGAGATGCTTCAGGAGACTAATTTCTATGCTAGATAAAACTGACCCTAAAGAGGAAAACAGAATATTTTCTATCTATAAATTAGTGAAATTAAATTATTTCCAGTTATATAAAAACACGTCAAGTGATAAGACTCACCTGCTGTAGGAAAGCAACCAGAGCACTGGTCCCCCATTTATCAAGCTTTGGTAGGTTGATATCTTTTAAGTACAACACAAGTCTTTCACAGTCTTTTGGTCTGTATACTCGACCAGTATTAGTACTGATTACCATGCATGTCTGGCTCAGTTTCTGCAGAAGATGTCGAGGAGTAGTTTGTGCACTACAGTGAACTGTAGCAATTTGAGTGGACCGGAGCTGGGAAAAGGCATACCTGAGCAGCATCCTATGGAAGATGTATGACAATTGATTTTGAAAATGAAACCAATAAAATACTTCTTACATTCAATATAAAATTTCTATTTTATAAATATTTTAGTTCCTAAATTATGTATGCTAATAAGGGGGAAGTGGTAAACATGGATATGGTTTCCATAACTACCAAAATAACTTTCTAATTTTTAGACTAGAAAAAATAACTTAATATTTTAAGGCACTCTCAAGACACAGCAAAAATAATCAAAGTTCACAGAAATAAGTTTGATAAAATATATACAAAAGACACCAACTATTTCCCCACAGCACAGTTGAAGGAAAGATTTTAAGACATTAAGCTCTCCACATTAAAAAAAAATTACAATGATTTAATAGAATTTTTAAATCATTAATAGAAATGTGAAACTAATAATTATGACACTTTTATTTCCAGAAACTAAGTTAGTAGACACTAAAAATAGGCTGAATCTCATTGAATTAATGGCTATTCTTAAATGTAGAACTTCAAGATTCATTTTTGTGTAACTCAAGTAAATAGTAATATGTGAGTATATCTAAGGGCTTCATTTTTTGTTGTGATGGTATGCACAGATTATTTTTAAGATTATCTTCTCAGATTGCTCTTTTTCCATTAGAAAACATATAACCTGGCAGACAAGAGGACATATCTCCTTCCCCAGTCATATTTTAACAAGTAGTGATGATGAAAAGAGTCCTTCATAAAAATATAAGTGTTACTTCAGCCAAAAGAAAGGTAAGAAAAGTTGTCAAATCATTTTAAGAGAGGAGAGGAGCATAAATCCACAATACATGTACCTCATCATTTTTTGTTCTTACCCTTTGCCACATCCTTCTGGTCCTACAAGAATAAATGGCTGTTTAGTATCAGAATTTAACCAAGGTTTGAAATAATCTAGACCTCGTTGCATATCAGGAGTCTGAATGACTGGTAGAGTTTGACCGTTACTGAAATCATCAGCACTCAAGTTTTCTGGTTTCTTCAACACATAAGATGCTAATCGTCCTCTACTTGAGTCATAGTAGGTGTCCATTGGTTTGTGAGAGTCTGGAGGAGATTCTCGGGCCCATTTAAAAACCTTAAGAGGAAAAAATTGTGATAGGTTTTCACAAATTCCAAGCAGAGTATGGGAAATTTTAATTCTTCAAATTAAATGTTCCAAAGTGAATCATCTTAGTTCAAAATAAAGCTCATATACAACTAAACCTACTAAATATCCTTTATAATTAAAGTAACATTTTATCTCAAATATTATTCTCTAAATGATCATTTAAGCAAATAAATAAAAGTGATCTAGTTTGCACATACACCAATGTATAAATATATTCAACTTTTCATTGAGTTCTTATAAACACTAAATTACAAATTATAAAGGGTAGGAATCCTAGACCCTTTATTTGCAGCATCTTCCACAGCTCTCAACCTGTTATTCTTCTAACAGTGAAAACTGTTATCTGCACAAATATAAAGCAGAGAGTTAGCCCTTGATCTATCCTTGAACACCTTTACTTTGACAGGAGAATGTCAGCTTAAAAGCAGCATAACAGTGAGAAACACCCAAGCAGCAGAGGAAACAGGTCAACCTTGGAAAGGAACACAGAACACAGAAAGCAATTGATGGTGGCATTAAAGAAGAAGCAAAATGACAAAAATGCAGAAACATAATGTTGGAGCCAATCTAAAGGAATATATGTCCAATTATTTCAACAGAGGCCAATAGGAAGAAATTCCTTAATATGTAGAATTCAGTTTTATAAACAACTTGGCTAATATACCCTTACATTTATTAAAGAAAAGATTTATAATGATTAATCCATCCTAGCATTCCTAATTGCCAAAACTGTTCTGTTAAACAGTAACAGTGATTAAAAATATTTATCATTCTCAGATTAAAAATGAGTGATTATTCATATGTCCAAATAGGTTCAAAAATGTCTAACAAAAAAGATATAGCCCAAACCTTAGCCTATTAAAACATTATTTTATCATATTTTAATTATATCATAAACTAATTCAAAGGAGAAAATAAGTATATATATGTATATGTGTACATATTTATAAATGTATCATTACTTTACTGAATGTATAATTTCAAAATTAAAAAATTCTATACCTTACATTTACAAATCTCTGAGCAGTTAAGAGTCAATAAAGTAAGGAAAATGTTGCCTGAATATAGATTTTAAATAAGGATTACCTCTTTGGTAAACTCCAAACGTGATTTCACATTCAGATTTCCACTAAGTCCCCTTATGAGATTAATAATAAATTGGTCATGATCTCTGCATCCATGTAGATGTGACAAACCATTCATCACAGTGCCAACCAAACTCGTTTCTGTCACATAGTCATTCTGTTGATTAAAATTCATGGTACAAACAAAAGGTAAGTATTAAACAGATAGACACTCATATATTTTCGAGGGTCATCTTTAAATTTATCCCTCTATTCAAGCTGTAGGAAGTTTAGATTTTGATTTATATATAAATAAACTGAAAATAAAAAGTAATCATAAGAACACAATTGTATATTTCTAGCTGTAAGTGCTAGAGTCCTCAATTAGATACATGGTTTATTTACTTACTAAACTTAAGAATATAAAATAAAAGGTAAATCAGTGATCACTGGCCCAGAAAGAATAGTTAGTTCCTCATTTCCTCTTACTGAAATAAAAGAAGCTACAGGAAAGAGCTAGACTGATGGCACTGGATGAGAAAGGCTAGTAAAAAGTAGGCTTAAGTGAAAAACTATTTGTAGTTTTTTCTATATACATAATTATTAAATGAAACTTTTGGATTGAGGAGGTATAGATGATTTTGATATGTGGGCTTCTATGTAACCACATCGGGAGTTAGTGGGGAAAAGGGTTCTCATTCTTTCTATAAGTATTTACTGAGAGCCAATTATGCATTAGGATCAGAATGGAGCGCTAGGATTTTTAAATAAAGAGTGAATTAAACAGAGCACTTGCTTTCATGGAACTCAAGTCTAGTAGAGTTAAGAATTTGTGGTAAGAGCTGTACAACAGCAGAACAGTGTTTTGAGAAAATAACTCAGATTGAGGACTCAAGGCCTCTTTGAAAAAGGTGACATTTAAGCTAACATCTGAAGGATGAGATCTGTCTGGCCATAAAGAGAATACAGCATACGCAAATGTAAACCATTGGTGTTATTAAGGAACTACAAGGTTATGCTTGAGAAGCAAAGGAAGAGTGATTTAAGTCAGAGAGGTTGGTAAGGGCCAGAATATGCAGAACCAATAGGTCATGGTAAGAAGTACAATTTTTATTTTCACCACCTTTAGTGTATTTTTAAGTAAGAGAATAAAATGATCCAATTTGCATTTTAAAAAAATCACTCTGCCTACATAATAAATATTTTCAGAAGACTGGAGAAATGGGAGAAAGAGCAGGAAAAAGGGAGGAGGTGGGTAGAAATCCAGCTGCTTAGGCCATGCTAAGAGCAATAGGCTTTAAAGGTAATATAAAGGAAACACACATATTTTCTTCTAGATTGTCTAACTTGCTAAGTCAATACAAGAGAACAAAGTTCCAGTTATAAATAAAATCTGCATTTGACTAGAGTATCCATTATGATCTAGCTCCCAGAATCTGAACATGGTGAACAAAATAAAGACTAAGAAGGAAGGAAGCCTCAGCACATAAAAAAAAAGAAATTTCAAACAATGAATCTAAACCCAAAACAGAATCAGGATTTTCTAACTGAATCTTTGGTAGTTATATCCACTCTATGACTTAATAATTTTATCCTATCACCATTTCTACTGTTACAAACCCCTACATATCAATATATTCCATCTAGTGTTATATTTCTCACTCTAACATTAATAGCATACAAGATGACCTCAAGGTATTTGCGTTGCAGCACCCTGTTAGGCTCTGTATTTTACATTAATGAAATGACAATGTATCTACTGAAAAGGGTACAATCAATAGGCATCAGCTTTTTAATAAAAAAGAATGTTTCATTCATTCACTAGTCAGTCATTACAATACTTGGTTCTGGTGATACAATAAGGAGTACAACAGGCTTGGTTCTTGCCCTGCAGGTGTTTATTGCTGAATATAAGAAACATGATATAGTCGAAAGACATTGCACGTTGCTGCAGAAGCACAGGAGGAAAGAGGTCACTCAGACTGAGGGCTGCTGTGAGTGGTTCTTTCCCTGAGGCCCCCAGGGAAACCTATCTCATTGGCATCATTTCCTCATGAAGACCTATTCTTACATCTTTTATCCTTAAAAGTCAGAAAAGAAAAAAGTTGAGAAAACTCAAGGAAATTTCCATTTCTATATGTGTCTTTTTCAGTCCAAAATTACTGATTTCTAAATCAAATTCAGATTAACAATCAGATACTTTTAAAAAACTCACTGCTATTTATTTCCTCTATTTTTTTGTTATCTATTTTTCATAAAAGCAATGACATAAAAGAAAAACCAAGAATAGTTGAAAATATCATACAGAATATCTGAAAGCCCTCCATTATCATATCATGCTAAGCTTACATTCATGCTTCAAATTCAAATTAAGTGTGATATCCTTTCTAATCTCTCCTAGATGACAGCTTAATACTCTTTTCACCCTGTCATACTGTAATTATCTTTTACATGTCATTTTCCTCCAACAGACAAACCCTTCTAAAGGAAAGGGATTGTCCTGTTTATATTCAACTCTAAACGTATGTCTAATGTTATGCTTGACATATAGTGGATGTTCAATAATTTTTTATTGAATAAACGTTTTAATAATAGTGTAAACTCACCATTCCTTTTTCTACTTTAGTAATAACTTGGCATTGTTTACAGCATGATATATATGTAGGTATTGACACCACAAAATGTGACAAGGTGGTTTTGCTAGTAAAAATTAGAAAGTCATTCCAATATTTAAGGTTTTTAGGTAAGCAGTACAAGATATTGTGGGTGGGAGAATTAAAATGTTTTAAGACTAACATAATAAGAAGTTATGCTAAGGCATATAGACAGACAGCAATGAAGGCATCTACCTCTCACTCTACCCCCATATTCTAGCAGAGCTCTAATAAAAATCAGCTATAAGTATGTAATATTCTTAATATTATACTTCCTGCCTAAAGGATTGATTATGGAATATTATGGTTAACTTGCCTGCTTTAGAACCCACTGTAAAGCCTTTCCAAAATAATCTCCAATCCAGTTTTCAAGATTATTCCTGTAATTTGGAGACTGATTCTTCAACCAAGATTTTATCAGAGAATTAAGATCCATCTCTTCATCACTAAAAAAGATTAACAAATACAAATAACAAATAAGAACTTCTTTAGGAAAAACTGTCAATTTGCCCTCAAAATAAATTTCTGCTCCAATAGTCATTATTTTACACATGAATCTGCTAGTACTCAAGACTTCAGTTACTTCTGTATGTGTGTGTGTGTGTGTGTGTACACACACACAAATACCAGTCTTTTCTGTAAAGCAAATAAATTTCATCTATATTATATAAGTATAAAATAAAGAATTATGTATCTACAGAGTAGCAAAAAAGTAGTCTAAATCCTTCCTACTCAAAGTGAGCTGTTTGTTAGAAATACAAAATCCCAAAATCTACTGAGGCAAAATCTTCACTTTAACAAAGTCCCTGGGTGATTCAAATGCACATTAGATTTCATAGTGCACTGAATCTTAGTGCATTTTTTAAAATATTTTTCTTCTTCTCTACCCCCAAAATATCCAGCTTCCTAAATCCTCAAGCCACTACTAAAACTCAAAGATCTTCCTGAAGTATAATTTCATTAGCAAGGCACTTCATTATAGAGTAACATCCAATGACTGAAATTAAATAACACTGAAATGGAAAATTTTATCTTGCATATATAAAAATAGTAAATATACTCATAGATTAATAATTTAGAATTGACAAAGCCTCAGGGTTTTGTCATTTTTCCTTTTATTAGCATTTCATAGCAACACTAGTAAGTACTGAGTCTGAATTTCTCCTCCCACATTTATATCCAGTCTAATAAGGAAAAGAGAACTGGAAAGATCAAAAGTAAATCTGTAAATTACATTAGATTGGCTCAAAACAGACAAACTAAAGACTCTAAGCTCCTTCAGAATAAAGATTTTGTTGCCAGTGATATCTCCTCAATGCTTATGGCAACTACAAGTCTTGATTTGTCCATGACAATTCTGATTTACAGTAGTTATCCTAATATAATTAATAGCATTCTCTTTCATTGTGAAAAGGTCCTGCAGTGGAGGGGGTCACTTGATAATATGGGTGAATGTTAAAGCCACTGTATTATTTATGTGAAACCATCATTAAGATTGTATATCAATGATACATTAATAAAATAATAATAATTAATTCAGTCATGGTGAGTATAATGTGCAGCATGGTGACTATAGTTATTAATACTATGTTGCACATTTGAAAGTTGTAGAGCTTAAACCTCAAAAGTTCTCATCAGGAGGAAAAAAATTTCTGTAACTGTGTATGGACATATTAACTATACTTATTGTACTAGTCATTTAGCAACATATATAAATATTGAATCATTGATGTACACGAAAATATAATGCTCTGTGTCAACATAAATAAATAAATAAATAAATAAATAAATAAATAAATAAATAAGATCTGTCTGTTTTTTCTTTTTAAAAAAGTCCTGGTTTGGCCTACTGCACAGCAGGTGTTCAACAATTATCTGCTGAAGAAATGAATAAAACCTAAAATCAAGGTACAACTTAATCAAATGAAACAGTAGCCAAAAATGTTAATACATATGGTTTTATACGAAATCATATGTATTCATTATGCTTCTCACAAACAATACCTAGTTCACCAATAATTTTCAAATCTACAACAATCTGTGGTCTTCTTTTCTGTAAATATCCATGGCATTTCACTTCCCACTTATTTCATTTACATTCTACCTCGTATTATAATTGTTGTTATATTTATTTCAACTCCTCTACTTGAAGGTATGCCCTATAAGCATGGGCCTTCTATAGGTATTACTTTTACCCCTTTCTTTGTGTCTCTCTGAAATGCCTAACTTAGTATCATGTACTTAGAATGCATTCAATAAATATGATAAAATGCATTTATAATTCCTTTATCCTAGTTTTCTCAGAAGATTATAAGACTATATTAAACAAATAAGATAAATTGTATTAAATACTGCTACAAAAGCTATAAATCCAATGCTCTATTTTTTAACAATTAATGTCTCAAAATAGTAATTGGACATCAATACTAGCTTAATATCAATGTTTCTTACAATACTATTAATGAAGGAGGCAAGTAAATAATTTTGGAAACAATTTGAACCAACTGGATAACACAAATCAATGTGTCATACACCTAAAATGGCTTCAAATGGCCCTGAAAGAGTAGAGCACTTTACATAGAATGATAAATATCAAATTCTGAAACATAAATCCAAAAAGTAAAAGAAAATTTTCTAATTATTCATTTTGGAAAATGAAATTAGCTCAAATGTCCATGATCTGGTATGTGCCCATGGCATATGATATCTAAAACTACCTTATTATTCACATTTGTTCTTTAAGCCTCTTCGAAATAAACTGAAGAAAGAAAATGCCAAGTAAAGAGGTTTCCAATCTGTAAAATAACAGGTTGGACCACAGGACCTCTTTTTTTTTTTTTTTTGACTTCAGAGGTTTTTATTTTTAAGGTATCATTGATATACAATCTTATGAAGGTTTCACATGAGCAATATTGTGGTTACTACATTCACCAGTATTATCAAGTCCCCCAACACACCCCACTGCAGTTACTGTCCATCAGCTTAGTAAGATGCTATAGAGCCACTACTTGTCTTCTCTGTGTTATACTGCCTTCCCCATAACCCCTGGTACATTATGTGTGTTAATCATAATGCCCCTTAATCCCCTTCTCCCTCCCTCCCCACCCACCCTCACCATCCCCTTCCCTTTGGTAACTACTAGTCCCTTCTTGGATTCACAGGACCTCTTAAACCTAGGTTAGCTCTAAAATTCCATGAATCTAAGATTCAATGATTAAAATATTGCTACTTAGCTTTAAGTTATGAGCCTCTAGCTCATAACTAGTATGCTCATTTCTCTAAACTCAATAATAATATTTAAATAAACTACAAAAAAAAATTTAAACACTTGCTGTTTCACTTAAGCAAACAAAAAATAGTGATTATATTATTAAACTGCTGAAATAGTTCAATTGCAATAAAACAGGAACTCTCCGAATGAATTAAAATCTAACAAAAAAAAGTCAACCAAAAATGAGGAAAACAAATACTTATACATTATTCATACAACATGTATTTCACTTAGCTATAAAACCAAAGTAATAACTGAAGAATACTCTAATATAATATAGGCAAATGCTCCATATTTTACCTAAGAAAGATCATTCCCATTCTAGATATTGTGGCTGGCGAGGCACAACTTAAATCATGAGTTTCAAATACAAAATTAACATTTGGGCCAAACTGAATCCTTTCTCCACTGGGCATAGTGAGTAGTCGATTATCATCCAGAACAGAATTCAGAGATTCTATCCATTCAGGGTCAATATCACCATCACAGATTATCCATGAGCTGACATCTTTCAAACCAAAAAGATGAAGATAAATAAAACTATAGGCAGTGATAATAAGTAAAAACAAGGAATAATTATCTTATTCTTTAGAAGTGACTTCCATAAGTATTGTATTACTAAAGCTGAATATAAAGAATTAAAAAGTTGAACAAGTTGAAATCTTTCAGGTGAATTGGTACTACAAATGTTCTAGAAAACCCAATGTCACTCCTGCTCAACTGGCCAAACACTATTATACACCAGGTGATAACATTCCATTTACCTATGACCACACAGAATTAGAATCTCATTAAAAGAAAACATGGTGTATAAAACTTAGGTTTTTCTATTCTCATAACCTTGTGAGATAGTCTTCAGAACTTTTGGCTTCTACCATGTCATAAGAATGCATAAATGCTATCTATATAATATCTCTTTTAGAAAATATAAGAAACCCATATCTTCAGTGCCCAACTAAGAAATAAAAAATGTACTACTGTCAAATTTCTTTGACGTATAAAAAGGTGACTTTAAAGGGGAGAAGCAGTGAACAAGCAGTGTACACAAGTCTTTTCAGATACAAACTATTTTTATCCATCCTTCCTAAAATAAGAGTGGTTTCAAGTTGTACTTGAACCTTTGAAACAATTTAAAGAGGAAAATATTACCAATAAAAGTGTGAGAAATAAGTACAGGTGATATCTGAATCTTACTGAGTGTGATATTATTGACTATATTGAAAATGAAGAGACTACATTGAAAATCCCTTCCAGTACCTTAGAGTTCTGAACATTTCACTCACTGATTTAGGAAAAAAACTATTAATAAAATTATGACCCAATGAAGAGTAGGAAGCTTTCTCAGATTCTAGTCAAAAATTCTCTTAAACACCAAGCTAGTAAATTCAGACCAGGAACGTATACTATTTTGTGGCTTAAATTTTCAAAATTATTCAAAACACTGTATTCAAACTGATGAGTTAAAAGTGTTCATACATATACCAATTTTAACTCCAAATAAAAGTTTGTCATCTTGCTTTTTTATGAGGCAATCAAACAAGAACTTTGTATTTATTATATATTTGTTATTAAATTAATTTAGTTGTGGCACTGTAGGGCAGTTTATGGTCATGTGTAAGAATTGGTAAGGATAGCATTATAGACAAGTTCTGTCATTCTCTAAAATTAATAAGTAGAGCAATGAATCACACGAGACCAACCTTGAGGTTCTCGAACTACCTGGCGAGCACTATTGGTCAAAACACCATCAGACCATTCCCTTGTATCCATGTCAATGTGGCCTAATAATTGATGTCTAGGCATAGCTTTGGGGTTCATAGTATATTGTTTTACCACATTGCCAATTTTACAAAGTGCCGCCCTTAACATTCTCCAAAGAGTTGATTTTCCAGCACCACTTGGACCAACAATAACAACTCCCATCCTCTGGCGTAATTGTTCATACAGTTCTAAAGCCTTCTTGATCTAGTAGAAAAGAAACATGTTCATTTATCATAGTGTACAATAACATGTAGTTTTCCTCTCATTCTAACCATTGTTCTATTCCAAACACATAAATTAAGCCATTGATTTCTTCAGTGGAAGATTTAGCTTTAAATAAAATGATACCTAAATAAATATGAACATATTTACAGTGTGATCTTTAACTCCAATATTTCTTTAAAAGAAACAACTATGCTTTCTAAGTTATTTGACAATATGTTCATTATTTTCTTCATCACTCATTAATTAAAATATAATATAGTCTTTATTCAGTTGTTCGTTCATTCATTTATATTCAGTCTCTCTCCAAAACAAACTTCAGGGAAAAGTGTTCATTTTAAACATGTATTTGTGCTACATAAAAAGGCCTACTAAAAACAATTTATCCTAAGAAAATTGTCAAAGTGAAGCTAAATCATATATAATCAGTTATCAAAAATACATGTGATTGATCCATTATGTGCCAGGCTCTATAATAGACACTAGGAATAAAATGTTAAACAAGATCCTGGATCCTGCCTTTCATGGAGACTACTATCTGGTGGGAGAGAATCAATATTAGTCAATTAGACAATTAAGATTAAGCAAGTGTATATAATAAGAGTAACAAAAGTACATAGCAAGGAAACTTAACCTGGACTTAACCAGGGAAGTCTTCCCTGAGCAAGTGAGATTTAAGTTGAAAGATGAAAGATAAGTTGAAAGTTAAAAGATAAAAATAGTTAACAAGGAATTAGCTAAGGAAAAGTGTCAATACATTATAAAATATTCTTAACAGTTACCTGATTGTGTATGATTTCATAACTGGCCTCCTCAAAGACCTGCTTTAATGCAGCATTCAGTTCACCATATTCTACTTCTTGAAAGTCAGTTCCAGGAAATACATCTTTAATCAGTGCATCAAACCGAATGCAATCAGCAAATGTAAATTTTGACATTGTATTAAGCCTCAATGCTTGTACCACAATATGACTTTCATTAACTAGAGAAAAAGTTTCATTTTAAAATTATCAGTAATGAAATTAATGACTATAAAAACATTTAACTACCTTGATATGCATTATTAGAGATTAAATGACACACTAGAATTTAGTAACTCAGCTTACTACCTTTTGACTTAAAAAATAAGTATAACTTACCATTTTGTTGTAATCTTTATAACAACTATATAAAATAAGTAAGGGCATATTACCATTAGTATTTCAATTTTACATATGAGAACATTAAATATCTAAGGGTTTAAATTATTTATCTGAGAAAGCACAGAAATTAGTATTATAGCTCAGATTTAAAGCTAGATCACCTAATTCCAGATTCAGGTATCTCTCCAATGATACCACTATTGCCTTCCAGAGAATTTAAGTCCTAAGACTAAAAACTAACAAGCTGAATAACAATCTTTGACCTGGCTTGCTGAAAACTGGTTCATACACATTCTTAAACCAAATGTAAATACTAGTGTCATTTCTAGATTCTTGTTTTTTCAAAGATATTAGATGCTGATTGATAAGACATATACATAAAGGCAAAAGACTATTCTTAGTATAATATTTCTGTGTTACATACATATAAAGAGGCATGACCACACTAGAGTTCATTCCAAGTACTAAACTTACAAACAAGCCATCTTTACTTACTATATGCATGTTTTAAGTATTTCTTAAAAATCACCAAAGAAAGACAACTGAAAAACAGTAATTTAAGTACTTCACCAAATAATTCTATCTTCCCTGGCATATACTAACCTAATAACAGAGCTAAAGTAGCTTCCTTTTTTAAAGTTACATGCTTTGATCATTTAAAGTCCAAACAAGTAATTTCATGCAGTCCTTTTTTCTATGCTGTCTTAGTTTCATAGTGTTTCAACTTAGTTTTTTTTTTTTTGGTATCATTAATATAAAGGAGGATTAAAGATGGTGGCATGAGAGGAGAGACAGAGGCTTCCTCCTAAAACCGTATACAATTAGAAAATAAAGTTGGTGCAACTAATCCTGAGAGAGCAACAGGAAAGAGGACTGCGCCAGACTACGTACACCTGGAGAAAAGAGCAGACCTCACCGAACAGGGTAAGTACCAAAGCTGTGGCCTGAAGGGACCCAAGCCCCTCCTCCACCCCAGCTCACTGGCGGGAGGAAGAGAAACGGAGCAGGGAGGGAGTGGAAGGCCTGGGACTGCTGAATATCTAGCTCCGGAGATCTGCTCTGGGAGCACAAACCTACATTTCATTAATATAAAATTACATGAGCAACATTGTGGTTACTAGACTCCCCCCAGTATGAAGTACCCACCACATACCCCATTACAGTCACTGTCCATCAGCATAGTGAGATGCTATAGAATCACTACTTGTATTCTCTGTGCTATACAGCCTTATCCATGCACTCCCCCTACATTATGTGTGCTAATCGTTAAGGCCCCTTATTTCCCTAAACCCTCCCTTCCCACCCATCCTCCCCAGTCCCTTTCCATTTGGTAACTGTTAGTCCATTCTTGGATTCTGTGAGTCTGCTGCTGTTTTATTCCTTCAGTTTTTGCTTTGTTCTTATACTCCACAGATAGTAACCTAAAGAGGCTGAATATTCAGCCTTTCAAGAAGGCACACATTCTGGGTGGGGGAAATCACTTATTTTTTATAACTGAGGAAAAATGGTGGTAAATATATAATACACATGAATCCATTACTGATCTGAATAAATGATTTAATAAGTATATAAACGGGAGAGAAGAGCCAAATCTTTGCAAAACAGTTCAAATAATATATGCAGACACTCCCCCCTCTAAGAGGTGAAGTTTAATCCTTGCCTCATCACTTCGAAGATAAGCTGGATTTAGTGATTGGCTTCCAAAGAGTAGAGTAGGGACAGTGAAAAATTCTCTTCACAGTGGAAAAATCTGGCCAACACTAAGACAAGTGATGAAGGTGAACATCACTACCTCTGTCACAGTTACTATGCACCCACACATGTGATACAATGAGAAGGGCACTCCACCTCTGTGGTATTCTTTCCAAATATCCACAACTCAGTCTATTCATGAGAAAAATGTCAAAAAAAAAAAAAACCAATTTCTCATTTACCATTTAATTTGGTATATAGCAAAATTTTTAACTCTTTTCATTCATGATTCCTCCTTTTGTGTAAATCCTACACATTTCAAATTACTTTCATCTCAGAGTCTATGTGATGCCTGACTAATGATCTTGAAGAATTTTAGAGTCAGGAAAACAAAAACAGACTGAGCAACTGTCACAAAGCAGAGGAGACTAAAGAGATATGAGGGCAAAAATGTACTGTGGTACCCTAGATTCCATGCTGGAGCCGAAAGAAACTATTAGTGATGAAACAAGGGAAATCCAAATGAAGCCTGCAGTTCATTAGTTAATAGTTATATACCAGTCTAAATTTCTTAGTTTTGACAAATATACCATGGTAAGATGAAACAATGATAATGTTATCTTCACAATTTTACTGTAAATCTAAAACTCTCCTAAAGTTAAAAGATATTTTTGTAATCTTAAGATATTTTTAAAGGATAATTTTGTTTGGTATATTATTTCTCTGGAAGGGAAAATCCCATCTATTTCTAAGGTTTCTCTTCTTAGTTTAGAATTAGACTAATTCTCAGGCTCTTCTCCAGACCTACTGAATCAGGAACTTTGGAGGTGCAGGTCCAACAATCTGTCTTTTAACAAGATTGGGTGATTCTGATATACATTGAATATTGAGAACCCATGTATAAAGCAACTATTAAATACTTAATGCACATTTGAAAGTTATGATAGGACATTTGGTGAAACCAGGGAAAAATGGAAGTATTGACTTTACTTAATGTGATAAATGTGAAAAATGTGTGATACTAATATAATATGTTAACAATAGAAGAAACTGGGAGCAGAGTATTCAGAAACTCTCTATACTATAGTTATAAATTTTCTGTAAATCTAAAATAAAACTATTCTGAATTAAAACTTATTTTTAGAAATAAGATTATATTTGAACAAATCACACCTTCCTGTTTAATACCAGTTTTCTTGAGCTGTCTAAGGAGATTTCCGCTTCCTCTCAGAACTGTCTTCAAAGCTCTTAATCCCCAATCATAATGTTGCTGAGGTGTCAAAAGTTCCCTTAAATAAAGACATGAAACCATAAAGCATCAAATAGCTATAAGAAATTATTTTTATCATCAGATAAAAAGAAATACAGAATATAACTAGTGACACATAGAAATGAGTATTGATGTTCCATTAATTTATATAAAAGAGCTAATCACACAAAATGATTGCTCAAGATGGACGGTTCACAAGGACCAAGATAAACCTTTCATAAACTGATGAATTAGCTTAATGGAGATACTAAATGGCAATTACCTGTTACCTTTATTTCTAAAGTCTTTAATCAATCCATCTTGCTCTTAATTTCTGATGCTCTAGTCCTCACTATCTCTTTAAGTGATATGGACCAGAATTCTAGGTTATTCAAAGAAGCTAAAAGTCAATCTCTATGACTAGAAATAAGACATAAGAAAAGTCATGAAAGATTCCCTACGACGAACAGTAGGTTTTGAGTGGTCAGCCGGTAAATTAGTCCACTAGGTATCATATGACTGGAGCACTCCAGTAAGAGCATTTTGCAAAAAACAGTGAGATAAAATTAATAGTATTTAAGAAAAACAAGTAGTTTTGAGCCACATCTTTTTATTATTCAAGTTAAAATCTTTCCTACCGACACTTAAAGTACAATATAGACACCACTATGAAAATCAATGAATAGGTAAATAGGACAAATGTAGAAAATAGTCACTAATTACCATAATCAATCATTGGAACCACAAAATATAAAAATATTTAAAACAGGAAAACTCACCTAGATAGATTGAAGATAGCTACCAATTTTCTGCCCAATACTTTAGCATCTTTAAAGCCTTCTGAATAGAGAATGACTTCTGCAATAAGTTCATTATCTGGGTGAGACATAGCTACTGGCCTGAAAAGCTGCTTAAGGTTATCAGGCAGTTTTTGTCTTCCTCCATAACCTTTTCCAGCAGGATTCATAGTGATAAAAATTCCAGAATTAGAATTTATTTCTACCTGAAATATTAATTAAAATATAGGCATTAAATATTTGAAACTAAAAATATAACTGCTTAGTAAAAAGTAACTGCTAATGTGCTAAATATCTCCTTATTCAACATATGATAAAAGATAAACTCCTTAGGAACTACACTACCTTCAGAGGTTCTTTACAGTTTTTTGAGCTGAAAGTTTAAGAGATGGTAACTAGCATTAATTTCTTTTCATTTATTCAACATATGTTTACTGTGTGAGGTACTTTGTTAGGTACACAGAAACAACACAACTCAGAACTGAAGTCAGTAACAGTTTACGTCCTTCTTAAGAATATATAATAAATGTTATGAAAGGGAAGAGCAAAATACAAGAGTACTAGTAGGAACATTTTCAACAAAGCACTTAGAAGCTAAATTAGAATGTGTAAACAAAGAATGGGCAATTAGAAAGCAGAAATACCTAAAGAAGAAAAATCTGGCTATAAAAGAAAGTAAAGAGAAAGAGCAGTGGTTGGAAGATGAATCAAGGAAAGTTGTTTATTCTATGTTTTAATTATATTAAATATTATATTATAATGCTATTATGTGTAATATAATATTTTACATTATTAAGAAGGAAAAGATGTGATTATGTTTAGAAGACGATGAGGACTGAATAGAGGAGGCAAGACTGAAACTATGGCAGAGGGGATAACCAAGAGAAGGTCCCAGGAAGCTGATTTCAAAGCATAGGTTGGAAAGGTTAGCATTGTTTGGGAGAAATGATAATTCCTTCTAAGAGGAGGATAGGAAAAAAAAAATGATGTGGAGGAAAATAAATTTGATTGCAGGAAGGTAAAAATAATCTCTCTTTGTGATGAAAGAGTTTATGCATCGTGTAAATAACAATTTAGAACTGGTCTTACTTTTTTGGCCTTCCCTGAAAAACTTGTATTGCAAAAATGTTATTATGGAGAAGAGGGTAATTTCACAATTCTTTTGACTTTCAATGTGTTCAGCATTACACATTATATACAGTTCACATTTCCTATACAAATAAGTTTACATTTTAAAGACATGACTGTTTATCTCCCATGGGGAGAAGTGAGGAACAGATGAACAGCTAAGTCTTACTGTCTTAAGGTTCACATAGTGATTAAAAACATGAGCTTCAGAATTAGCCAGACCTGGATTCAAGTCCCAGATCCACTAATCATTCTTAAATTATCAAGCCCCATTTCCTCTTCCATAAAGTGGACAAAATGTAATTGTACCTACACCAAAGGTAGATTAAAGCATGGAGCATAGTGCCAGCACAGAGTTAAGTGTTCGATAATGTTAGCAAATACTATTACAACTGAATTATTCAATATTGAAAGTCTGAAGATGAACAAGGAAAGTGGAACCCAAAAAGGATGAGACATCTCAGAGACAACTCACAAGTAAAAAGGTTTGACACACTGACCACAGAAACAGGGGTACCAGGAGAAATAAAGACAGAATATTTGCCTGAGTATAAGTAATGCAAAGTCTTATAAACAGAGTTTCATTCTTTAAATTCCCAACATATTCTATACCTCCTTGCCAAGCAGTTCACATAAAGTTCTATGATTCTTCAAAGCATCTTGAATCGTCTGAATTTGCATAGAAACTGCTGACAGTACAGATTCTTCCAATCTATTAAACTCATCAAAACAACCCCAGGCACCACACTTCACCAAACCAACAAATATCCGTCCCATTGACTTCACATCAATGCCCTTAAAAATAATAATAAAAATTATTTTGAAATTATAAAATAATTAACATTAAAAATGATTAAGATCTCTATTAGTAATTTAATATTAAATGTCATTTACTTAGAAGGCACTAACTTCACCCATCTATGCCTTTTTTGCTCCTTTAAAGTAGAAATTAAATAGCTGCTCTTTCAAAGCCCAAGGAAGTTTCAAGGAACAAACAGAACAATCCATGTAAAATTGTTCTGAAAAGAACATAGAACCAAAAAAGTACAAGACTTTGTTTTAGTTATTTTTGAGTCAAAACAGAAATCCTGTACAAAATATTTTGAAAAGGGTAATTTTAAATGAATTTAAGATTCTTCCTTTTTTATTCACTATTCTCCTTACTAAAAACATTTTCTACACTCTAACATAAATCTTCACTCGTATTTGGAATTAATTCTTTGCAATAATTCTCTTTAGAAATAAGTTGTGGGACAATATTACATGCAACCTCTCTCCATTTTGTTCTTCAAATAAAACAAATTCTGTTTTCAGGTTATTTAAAATTACAATACTATTAAAATAGAGCATTTCATATGTAAGTACATGAAAACTAACCCAAACATATAACACACTATTATATAGCTCGATAATTATTTATTCTACCTCATCACAATTAAAAACTAAAACTTGTCTTCCAAGAAGTCCACCTAAAGCCTTTACTGATTCAGTTTTTCCCGTGCCAGCTGGTCCATAAGGATTTCCTCCGAGTCCCATCTTCATGGCTTGAGTGAGAGTTAGGTAGCACTTGTCTGTCAATGGAGTATAAACCAGTTTGGGAGCATTACCCTAAAAAATAAAAATATAAAGTTCACATATTCATGTTCTATTCAACACTTAAAATTCTTCTATAGTATGAGATGCTTGTTAAAAAATCTAAAAGGGCAACAAATAGGTTAAAGTTGTTAACACAGAAAAATAGCCAAAATATTTTTTTTAGAGAAAGAAACTTTCTACAGCATAAACTGGAATTAAACATAGTTATTTCTCATGTTTGTATTATTCTATCTTCAGTTAATACATTGTTAGGGTTTCCAAATAGTCACTCAAGTTCTTAATACTGGCACAAAGAAATACTTCTAAAGCAAACAGAAAACAAATCCAAAAACATATTATACAATAATCATTCTATTTTGTATTTTAAAACTCATGTAAATTATTTCCTTAAATCTTATGAGCTTCAGAAATGAGAACTACTTTGAAGACCTTGAATTATAATTAATTTTAAAAACTCCTCATGAAGTTAATAATTTTAATTTATAAAAAATTTCTCAAAATTTCTACTAAGTATTAGGGTAAACAAATGTCAATACCAGCTGCAGTTTATAGGATTTTTCCTTAATTAGGTAGACAGATTTGGGTCTCAAAATACATTTTTTTAAAGAGCCAGCTGGTGGCTCTTCTGACATATGCACATTAACATAATTGTCAAATATATTCTGATAATGCATTATGACGGAAAAAGGCAGAGAAGCTACAGCTGGATATTTTGAGAACAGATTACATGAGCTAGGTTATTTGTTTGAAAATTCTTTTATCTTACCAACTGAAAACATTTAGCAAACGTCTTTTAGCATATTTACAATTGCACTAATTTTGGCCTTGTATAAGGAAGTACAAACCAAATTGCTTCCATTGAGGTTGTCTACATTCAATTCTCCTTGGATTACAGGTATATTTCAAATTATATGTAAATGCTACTCTAAGAAAAGGTACATTTAGAGAATCCAGTACAACACTGCCATTATTTTAATTTTTTTTTGTAAATAGGATGATTTTTTTATTTTCTGTTAAAGCATCTTTTTCAGTTATGACTGAACAGAAAGAAGACAGTAACACAAAAAGAAATTCTTCAAAGTTACAACTGAAATAAAAATAATTCTTTCACCCAGTAGCAAATTTTCTTTAAATACTTTCTAAGTGGAAAAATAAAACAGTTCTGCCACAAGTCATACCTGATACTCATAAGTGTACTGAAGTTCAGAATCCACCATCTGAACGTAACATGTGTGGTCACTTTTCATATAGAATCTAACTTGTTTTTTCCAAGCCCAGTCTTCAGTTGTATGAACTTGAACTTGGTTTAACTGCTTCACCACATCGATATTATGAATAATATCAAGAATTAGTGCTTTAAGTTTAAACTCCAGAATGCCAGATTCTGTATACAAATAAAAATAATTGGAGAAAATGTTAGCCTGTGACTTACATATTTTATGATTATATACATATATACACAGGTGATTTCTTAATGATTTAAATGATTATGTCATGATACATTTGAATGGTATAGTAGTATAAATCATGCAAGTCAAAACATGTCAAATCCACCATAATAAGTTAGAATTCTGCATGTGAAAACTAAGAGAATTTTTAGGCATCAAAATTCAATGGGAGAGGGGTTCCTGTTCCTTATGCAAAGGAATAAGCACACTCCAGTCTGTCTCTTCCTCTGGATGCAAGTATAAAATATGGACAACAGGCACTGAACTGCTATTTAGGACTCTAAATTGTAAGAGTATTAGGCAAATTGGGGAGGATCAGAATTAGAAGTGCCACCAAACCAATGGTGAGTTTACCTTTTTCCTTTTTTTTCCTTTCTGGTATCCCTGGGCATGCATCTGGAAATGCAGATTGGTATAGACAGAGAGAGCTCTAGAAGAAGCAGAAAAGGAGTCTCCTGGTAGCATTAACACCAACACCTGCAACCCAGAAGTGCCTGCAACTCGGAGGGAATGGGGCCTTCCTCTGAAATCAAAGGAGCTATGAACCCCAAGAGAGTAGAACAAACCCCAATTGCTCCTTTTTCTCGCTCTGTTCTCCCATCAATTAACCCAGGACATATGCATAACTTGCAGAAGTGCGCAGGAGAGTCGAATACAAGAAACCCCAGCTTTCCAGCCAGAAGACCAAAACAGGAGCCCAAGGGAACCACAAAATACTGGGAAGATCAGGGAGAGGCAGGATATTGGAAAAATGACCCTATAAACTGATTTATGAATTCCTGAGATCATCCCCAAGTTCATCCTAAATAACAAACCAAACACTTTGAGACTGGCCACTAGGTGGCACACACGTGGGATAGATCTGAAGAGTACTGCAAATACTAAAACAGAACTGAAGTTGGAACCACCACACAGAGAAGGCTGGCTGTAACTTGTGGCCTGAACCCAACAAGATCAGTTGTTAACAGGAAAACATCAACACTATCAAGAAGATTTAAACAAAAGTCAGACTCTTGTAATACAATATTCAAAATGTCCAGGCTATAATCCAAAATAATTCAACACGCAAAGAACCAAGGAAATCTCAATTCACCTAAGAAAAGACAATAAAGGTGAAATAACTGCTCAAATGAAGGAAATCTATGAGAATTCATAGCCAGCAAATATGTTCTAAAAACAAATAATAAAGGAAGCTCTTCAAATAGAAGGGAAATGACACCAGAAGGAAACTTAGAGCATCAAGATGAAGGAAGGGCAAAAGAAAGGTAGCCATCTAAGGAAATATAGCCTATTCTTCTTGAGTCCTTTAAAATACGTTTGCTGCTTAATGGTAAAAATTGTAACAATCTCAGGGAGTTTTCAATATATGTAGATGTAATATATAAGACAACCACAATATAAAAAAGTGACTAAAGAAACCCATATGGTGGTAAAGTTTCTACATTTCATTTAAATAAGTAAATCACTGATTCTGTACACAATACAAAAGTTAGTATGTATATTATAATGCCTAAATTAACTTCCAAAATAGATAGATGATCAATTGATAGATAGTCAGAAGCACAATAGAAACACATTAGGTAAGATAGAATACCAGAAAGATCTTCAAATAACCCAAAAGTAGACAGAAAATAGAACATTTTTCCTTACCAGTATTTCCCGGATCCTCAGAACTTGTATCAATGTTAGTATATTGCTCTAACTTATCCACCAGTTGTGTCTGAATATGGTGAAGACTGTGATCTTTGATAGCATTTTCTACATCTTCAGTGAATTTAATCTGCTCTGCCAAGCATAATATCTAATGGATAAAGAGAAAAATTATTTTAAAAGGTGAATTTACTGAGAAATATTTTATAAATTTAAGGGGAGATAGCTTTTTCCAAATTTTCAATTGTGCAATGGATCTCTCTACCTGAATATCTTATGAGCACCTCAAATATTAATAGAGCAATACATTCATAGAAAAACCATTTTATGGTGCAGCCAAAGCTCACTTCTCAGAATTCATTTTACAGTATTTTCCTATAGACCTGTTTTATGGTCTTAGAATCCACCAAGCTCACTGTAACCTAAGGGCCTTTAAACTTTCTTCCCGACTCTCTTCGAAATGGCTTCTTTTCAAACAGTAGGATGCCAAGATAACAGAATGAAGCATTCTATTTAATAAAGGGTAATGTAGCATTCCAAAATAATATTTCAGCATACTACTAAAGTGTACAATCTCAAAATTACAACTTTATCCTAATTTAATACCTGTCTTAATCTTTCAGTATAACACCCATAAACAGAAACTACAGATAAAGATAGACATCTTATATGTAAATAAAACATAAAATGTTAACACTTCCTATAATAGTGCCAATATAGCAAGGCCACTGATAAAGCAAATTACACATTTAGACATCAAATAAAAGTATTTGGAAACTTATATTAAAATAGTTTGATACAGTTTTGAGATGAACAAAGAAAACCAACATTGTCCCTTAAAGACATGACCCGTCATCATATTAAAACACTAAGCCTATTGATCAATTACCAGTGAACAGACTGTTTTTTCTCATACATACCTTTCAGCATCCAGATGAGTCTCATCAAATCCCTCTGTCATAGTAACTCATTTAGTTATGTGTAAATATATTTATAACTTAACAAAGCTGGCGAGGCTACTGTCTTGCTCTAACTAAACTGTGTAATGATCATATTAAAGTTCTTTAACAGAAGAGAAAGCCAGTTAGTAACTCTTTCCAGGGCAAAGTGATCTCCCATACTTTGTAGTACAAAACTCACTAGCTTCTTTAATCAAATACATGGTGAACCATTTAAGTAGATCCATATCCGCTTTTTGAGAAAAGACTTCGCTCGTTGGTTTTCATATGAAAATGTTCACCTACCACCTCCAAACTAATAATCTTATAGATGGATTTCCTTCCAGGTACTGCTACATAATTTCTGTATTATAATTCACATCAATAATCTCAATATTTAACAGTCTGCTATATAATTTCTGTGAGAGGCTAACAGAAATGATAGTCCAGATACAGTCTAATTAGTCTGTACAAATACAGACTAATTCTCAAATTACAATATCATTAAGATATCTAGACAGGAACTAATATTATAATTTACTTAAAATGTAATGCTCACTTAGGGTTACTCTGCAAATACTATTATAATTTAACCTTCAAAATGAGTTGGCGATATAGGTATCATGACACCGTCTTAACTAAGTGTCAGAAAGAATCTCTCAGAGTGTAACTGGCAAAGGTAGGATGTGAACCAAGGTCAGCCAGATTCTTTCCAGTTTACCACATTGCCTCCTTTCTAGACCAGAAGGTGCCTTCTCTATGTTATTTGTGATCCTTACAAAAATGCCTTTAGAGAACTGAATAACAGAACATAATAACCTCCACCAGACATTCATATAACCAGTTATACTATTCAATCCCCTTCCATAAATGTTATTGAGATACATTTTCTTAACATTAACTGCTAATAAACTAGAATTCTTTCTTTTGGTAGTTAATGAACTATTCACATTTTTAGTAATTCACATTTTTACTTGACTGCTCAGGAGCCCAGAAGTAAGTTGGAGACTCAAATTTGGCAACATTCTTTAACCTGTATCTCCCAGCAAATCTCCAGATACAATGATCATTTCCCCAATTCAATTAATACACAATTCTTACTTTTGTAGATTTTTTAGTATTTTGTTTTTTATTCTAAATCCATTTAAGTCCTATCTAGAAGTTGACAGAGTACTAGAAAACATTTCAGTTAAATGTTTAAGGAACATTAAATCTTAAAAGAACTTAGGATTTTTTAAACATATTTTAGTTTGACTCAAAATGCTAAAAAAATACAAATGACATGAATGGTAAAAAGGCTAAGAATCTAAAATGTTTCAAGCTTCTTACTTAACTTCTCATGCTTTAGAATAACCAAAATAAAAATCTCTTCAATAGCTACTAAATGTTTAAATGTGGAAAGCAAATTAACTCTATGCATTCTCTAGTTTTCCTGTGAGAAATCACTGGGTATCTCAATGCCTGTCATAATCCCTAAGAACTCAACTTCCTGGTGTGAAATTTAACACCTGTAGTTTTAAATCTTAAAATATAGTTTAGTGTTGTGACTATATTTCAGACCTACACTAACATCCTGCCAGACTCCTGCCAGATTCAACCTTTTAGATGATGCTATGGGAGGGGAGAGAGACAGTATTATAGATCCTGCACCTCTCCATCAATGATGGACTAACCATCTGGAACCAGCAAGCTACTACATGACTACTACTCCCTCCTCATTCCATTCCCCACTGGCCAGAGTTGCTTAGATCTCAACATATCGTCTGCTTGAAAGCATCTGAATTATTGCAAAGTAATGGAGCTAGAAGAAAACTTCACTATCACATGATTCTTTCCTCATATTTTACAATTGAGGGAACTGAGACTCAGAAGTTAAGCAATTAGTCAACATTAACTTAGATAAAGGGAGAACAAAGATGACAGCCTTTTGAGCCTCTTTGCCACTTGGTCAGGGATCTTCCCATGATACTATGCTTACCTATATTTCAGACATAAGCCCCCTTACCTGTGAAGGGAACGAGGATGGATCGATTGCACCTTGAGAACTTCGTCCAGTGTTAACACATTCTGTTAACAACTGTTTCAAAGTTTGCTTCATTTCCAAGGCTAAATGATTTAACCAAATCTAAAAATAAAATTAGAACATAATATATACAAGTCATAAAACAAATGTACACTCTATTAACTGACCCTATTCTTTTACTTCAGGAGGCAGGATTATAATTTCTTACTGACTCCACGGTCCCAAAATGTGTTATATGGCATATAATTATTTGTTTTATTAATAAATGATTTATATAATTTGAAAAGAACAATTTTTCAGCTCTTAAGATTCACAGTAAGTGTGAAAACTCATAAACCTGTAGTTAGATACCACTATCAAGCCCATATAATATGAACATTTAAAAAGTAACCCATTGACCTAGGAATAAACCTAACCAAGGAAGTGAAAGACCTATACCCCAAAACTACAAGACACTCTTAAGAGAAATTAAAGAGGACACTAACAAATGGAAACTCATCCCATGCTCTTGGCTAGGAAGAATTAATATTGTCAAAATGGCCATTCTGCCCAAAGCAATCTACAGATTTATTGCAATCCCTGTCAAATTACCAAAAGCATACTTCAACGAAGTGGAACAAATAGTTCTAAAATTCATATGGAACCACCAAAGACCCCGAATAGCCAAAGCAATCCTGAGAAGGAAGAATAAAGTGCGGGGGATCTCACTCTCCAACTTTAAGCTCTACTACAAAGCT